TAAAGAGTTTTCCGGTCTTCAATGAAGCCACAGATGCTTCTCCAATCTCAGAGACGACCTGCCATCCTGAGTCCGTGGCCTGAGAGCGCTCCCCGGTATACAAGAACAGATCTGACTATGCTATGCCTAGAATATCAAGCCCGTACACGGTTTGGCTTTAGGGTTTAGGGGTTTAGGAAGTTAACTTACGTTTGTTTTTTTGGGGGGGGGCATTCGGGTTCGAGGCATTCGATACGCTTCCAGGGTCTTTGGGCTCGAATCTCCCGTGCAAGGGCATCACGGCAAACAAAAGCCTGTAGCCATTTGAGATATTGTCTCCGAGAAGGAAGCACGCAAAGGATTATCAGAAGACCACCTCCCGAAGCCAGAGTGTCTGATGACAAGGGCCCACCATTTGTCTGAGTCCCCAAGGAACATGCAGAAAGCTTGCTGGCTCTTTGGCGAGCCTCCGCTTTCGGCGTGTTGCCCGCCTGGATGCACAAAGCTTTCTTAATAGGATTTAGGATTTGAGGTTTAGGGTTTACAGGGCTTGAGGTTTAGGGCTTCTAGGTTTGAGGTTTAGGTCTTCGGGTTTGAGGCTTAGCTTTCGGGATTTAGGGTGGCGGCTTTTCGACTGTGGGTTTCTTGGGCGTCGGATTTACGAGCCCGGTTGTACCGAAAATCCCAACATCAAGCGCCCGGCTCGGCTATCTATGCAATTCATGGGGTACTGCTATATGAGTGGTTGTCAATATTAGGGTCCCTTTTTGGGTCCTTATTATTAGAATACGGCACCTAAGATTTAGGGTACCCAAAAAGGGACCATCATTTTGACAACCGCCCATATCCATACTGGCTAGACTGACTAGACAATGGACAGTAACCTGTTGCATCTCCGTGTCGCAGAGAGAGACGAGCATGGAGAAAGAATTGCTGAAGCCTAAACCCTTAACCCAAGGCCCTAACCATTAAAAACCCCAAACCGCAAAACCCTAAACCCAACCGTCCCACTCAGAAATGCTAAAGCCTACATAGAACGAACAAGCGGTAGCTTAGGCACCCCTCGCGCCCGAAATCATAAAGCCGCGGGCCGCGACGTTTAGGTTGTAGATTAACTTGGGGTTTTAGGATCTCGATTTGATCTAAGGCTGCCAGGCCGGCGGGTGAAGGGCTTACGTTTAGGTATACACAGACAACCTCAGTTCTTCATGATTGAAAGTCTGGGGAGGCTACTACACTCTACCGAAGGAAGGCAGAACCGTAGAAATCGTGCAGCAGCTCTTGAAAACGGACCCCAGACGGCACGAGCATCTAGAGCTTCCTGCCTCCATCTTACATTCCAATATACCACTACGGACTCTGCAAGCTCCTTAGCCCTAAACCCTAAAGCCCAAGCCCTACCAGGGTTTTGCGCCCATTATCAAATAACAGCAAGAAGGAACCCCAAAAATAGATTAGGCAATTATTGAGGCCCCTATATGATTAGAGCCATTGTCTGGGGCTTGAAGTTTATAAGGCTTCGGTAACCTACTGTTTTACGCGCTATACCCTCTGACTAAGGAGGTCATAACCGACAACTAAGTCACAACGTACTGTTCCGTATGGTTTGGGATGTTTGGGGCTGCAGGTGGAGTTAGGGCAAGTTGCCTTGCTTGAAGGCGCATACCTTCATTGTAAACAGCAATAGCCAATTCCGGAACAACCAAAACCCTAAATCTCAGAGGCTGCCCCCTGAAAAGGATGCCTACTCGAAACCCGATGCACCCCACATATTGGCAACCCTGAACCCTTGCTAAAGCTTAACCCCTATAAACCTTACCCTACACGCAGAACAGCTTCCAACCATAGTGTGCAAAGGACGAGCCTGTGCTGTGGGCCGGGCTGCCTGGGCAAAGATTTGGGTGTTCAGGGCTTTAGGAGTTCTATTTTTTGAACCCTTTTCCCGTCAGAAGGCTTTAGGAGTTTAGGGTTTAGGCTATTGAGGGTTCAGGGATTTAGGGGTTTAGGGGGTTCAGGGCTTGGGATACGTTTCAGGGATCAATGCGTTTCGGCTTTACAGGGCCGGGAGGCATGGTGGTTTCTAGTTTATAGTACAGGTTGACAGAGCGCAGGCTCAGGGGTTAGGTCTAGGGCTTATAGGGCTTACCGGCTCTACGTGCTTTTAGGGCTGTTGAGTGTTGGGCAGACTATTTCGGGTTAGGGCTCAGGGTTGTGCGGCTGCGTGTTTCAGCCGAAGGCTTCGAATTTCAAGCTTGTGTCAAAGGACTCGGATCTAGTCTCAACACTATAGGGCTAGGGTTTCGGCGATTTCGGGGCATATGGGGGAAAATACCACCAGGACTGCGGTAGGATACTATGACTACTTCATGCGACCTCTACATCATTCATCATACGGGAATCCATCAGGAATAGCAGTCCGGATTACTCCAACCCTATCCGTTGGAATGGCTACTGGCTTCCAATTCCGCAAACTTAAACGAAAAATCTTGAGTTGATGCTAACTCAACATCTCGACATCAAGGTTAAGGACAGCACGTCTGCATAGCAGCAGTCACGTAACAACGAAGCAAGAAGCTATGATGGACAAGGTCGTCCAAACTCATGCTGACCGTTTAGGGTTGAGGGTGTAGGTAAACTTTCGCCTCCTCACAGTAAGTCGAACAGCGAAGTTCACTTTGGCGGCCTAGCCTGAACTTGAACCGTCAAGCTACAGATATCCTGAAGTCCACAGAACCCGTAGACTGAAGTCTGGGGAACCATCCTTTAAACTCTACACTCAGATCATGCAAGTCAAAGCCCCCCGCGATGTCTGAAGAACCCAAGCCCTATGCAACAAATAACCAACAAGTTAGACAGTGTTCTCGGGATTATTATACCTACAGAGTCACTGTGGATATGTCTACCACATATGTATGCACCCTGAACGCTAAGGCTCAATCACCAGCCCTGAGCCGCCAGCAACGGCAAGCTCGGCAAAGCGAAGGGACTGCATCGCCAAGACGCCCAAGTTTTGAGCAACTGAGAGGAGAACCTAAAGCAGCACAGTCGTGCTTTTGCGGGACTTAGGGCTTGGGGCTTAGGATTTGGAAAAAGGAATGGGGCCTTAACAATTAGAATAGGGCTTCGGGGCTGACTGGTTATTACAACAGAAGCCAGAAAGTTGGAACATGATTACCCTCATGCCCTTAAGGTAAAGTATAAGGGATCCTAGCACTAATCCTACGAAAGTCATGTTCCAACTTTCTCGCTTCTACTATAGTGCAGTAGCATATTCCAAGGCGCAGGCCATCGGTTCATTGTCCATTCCACTCATCATGGAGGTGAGTTGCGGGAAAATGTACCTCGCTTCCGGTGCCCTGTTACCCAGGCCTGAATAGTTTGACCCGGGTCCCTTTGGGTGGCATTTTGCAGTAGAGCGATAGAAGGACAAGAAGGCGATGACAGCCTTTGCTTCCGGGAAAACCACGTGATCTTGGGGAATTTGTGGCATGAGTCGGCTGCGACGGGCTTACAACTTGCTGCTGCTAGTTTGCATCTTACGCCGCATCTAGGTCGATGATCATCATGGCGGTGTGTTTCTGTTGCTGAGGACGGTGGCGAAGACAGTCAGCATGGAGATGGTCCTCATCAACAGTACGAAGGTAACAACGGCGGTGCTGCCGTGGGTAGCGATAGCACTGGCAATAGAGCTTGCGAAGATTGCAGTGATGGCGAAAAGAGGATGGTAGTGGTGATGGACGCCTAAGAAATCAGATGGTGATCATAGTGGTGATGTCGGCGACGAAGTTGTTTGTGATGATGACGATACTGATGATGAAGAAGGCGATGACGATCATGATTATGATGATGATGATGACGACGACCATGGTGATGCTAGCGACGATGTTGTTGGTGTTGATTCTAGGCAGGATTCTGCAGATGATGATGGTGATGCGAGCGTGAAGAAACAGCTTATGATGACGATGGTGTGCTGAACATCATTGATTGTGATGATCATGATTGTGATGATAAGGATAAAAACGACGGTGGTGGTGAACATCGCAGGTGGACAACACTGATGGATTCACTAGTGGATGACGGTGCTGATCACTACGAACTACGGCCATTGTCACGTTCATGATGCTGGCCGTGATGCAACCAATATCATGTGCAGTCGCCAAAAAAATGTAGCCATTGCTGCGGTTGAGGGAGATACGAGGCAGTCGTCTTTGGGCGATGCTGCATGCCTGGAAATTCGGGGATGCGCCCGAACTAAGAGCAAAAGCATGTTCATGCTGTCGTAGGGCAGCCGCTCCTTTATACAAACAGCTGCTACTACTGTGGGCCGATGCGACCTCGACTGGTAATGGCAGTTCAAGAGGTAGTCATGAGTATGGACGACGACCTCATGTGCAAATACCACGCTGTACATCGCATTCTCTCTTAGTTTGCTTTTGTTACAGGCCTCGACACAAAGTTGGAAAGGCGTAGTCACTACCCACGACCCCGCCTTCAAGGCTGTTTTTCGGTGTTGGCTCGAGCCGGGCACAGCAGTATCTGGAGATGTATGTCGCGGCAGGGCAAGCCCACCGAAAATCGAGATGTCCCAAACCGCCACACAAAGGTTCAGAATATAAATGTTTTGTGGAGTCAAGCAGAATCTGTAGCTCCTGCATGCATGCGGCAGGAGGGATATAATCAGGGAGCATTTGGTAATCCACAACCCTGAACCCTAAAACCCCAAGAATTCAGACCCCAAACACTTAACTCCCAAACCACAATAGTCACGCGCACTCGACAAAAAGACCTGCGTGGCTGATAGGCAGCTGTGTGACCTGGCAAGGGATCAACTTGGAGCTTTGGTCTTTGCACCTGCTTTGTTGAGTCTCTAGGCTGGGCCCACTCTGGGCCCAATCAGCACTAGGAACTCGTAACCCGGAGGACGCACCGCTGTCATCGAATCTCGAAGAGCTGGATCGTGAATTCCCCAAGCATTTCACCCGAAATCTTGACCTCACTTTCTGGGTAAATTTAACTTACGCTTATGAGCTGAAAACTGTCGGAACCATGACGTCGAGTTGCCCCATGTGCACAGCTCGCCCGCGACGTTTGGCCATAAGACCCTCAGCCCCTACGTAACTCTTCTCAGCAGCAAGACTCGCCAGCACCACCGCTGTCAAAGCACACCCAAGCACCTGCAGGGCCTTGGCGCGGACCTGCTTGGCAAAAAGGTTGACGGGTTCCATGACAAATGGAGTTGAAGCTCCGGGAAGAACAGCCGTCTGCATCTACCGACAGGTTCTACTGAGGTTTTAGTGCCAGGCACCCTGCGCTCGCCTTACAATACACACGACGTCACAGGGATTCGGTACAAATCACAAGAAAAGCAATATTGCAAATAAGAAGAATATGAATGTCGATATCAAAAATCAAAATGTATAAAAATATCTGACTTGACCTCGGGACAACCGCAAGGCTTGATCTGATTCGGCATTAAAATTTTGGCTAAGAATCTTCTGAGGCTCAGGTGCTCTGAAAACTTGGTTAGGAGGAATCCTGTTCCTGGGTTCTTGCTGAGGAACCTAACTTCGGTTACCATAAGACATAAGAGGGATCCACTCGAGCATTCTGCCTCTCTCTAACTCTAACCCACATACTACGAAACAATGAGGGTTAACTGATTGAAAACCTGTGAGGATCTGTATTGCTGCAGGGCCCCGATGAGTTGTGTGGTTTTTGGTCTGTTTCCTACTTTCACTATAGCAGGATGACTGCCGTTGCTGCTCGCATTACTATGATCGTCTGTGCTGGCCCGCTTGTTACCAATACTATGCACTGTTATGCTGACATTGTTCTGCTTATACTCGCAGGCATTCTCCTGAACCACTTCTGCTACTTCGGGAGTGACTGATAGGCATAGTCACAATAGGATAACACCCATCACATCGTGTTTACTGCATTGACAATGTTACTACTAACCGAAATCGCAAATGTTCTGGAAATGTGATGGGTGGTTCGGCTGGTGACTATCGCTACTGGTAGCATAGCAATGAGTGTTCCAACCAACTTCATAAGATGATGATGCCTGCAGACACAGCATTGAAAGTGTAAGTGCCTAAGGCTGAGAGAAAACAACACGTCCACACCAATCCCATGCCCTGACGAACACATCGCCTTTTCGAGAGATGTTGCCTGAAGGGTCGGGTGTAAGTAGAGCTGTGGACTTGGTGTCGAGTCAAACCGGGGACCCCATAGCGGATTCCTCACACGCCCTAAACCATCCTAAACCACTAAATCCTAGACTGAGCTTTGTACACGCTGAAATTCCTGTATAGGCCCCCTCAATCCTAAAGCGAATGTCCACAGCCCATAAGTTCCAAGCCCTCAAACCCCCCAAACCTGAAAGTCTAAAGCCCTAAACCATAAAAGCACGACACCCTACACACCCTAAGCCCAATGCCCTAAACCCTACAGCCCTGAAGCCCCCAGGACCCGAAATCTTACACTTTGCCTTGGCTACCGGGTCCGTCATGAGTACATGACTGTAAGGAACGATCTGCTCCAGAATCGTATCCTCCGTTGGGAAAGAACCCTCACAGATCTATGGCTCGGGGCTGTTGTTTATGGGGCGGTTCTGAAACCCTATACCCTGAACCCTACACCCTAAAACCCTGAAACCCGAAACCCCATACCCTGAACCCTACACCCTGGGACGTCGGCATTTAAGATTTGCGGCTTTGGAGTCTCAAGTGAAAACTCCGGGGATCTACCGTAGGCTCCCAAAATCCCAGAGCCCAAATCTCCGACCTCAAAGCCTTAAAGCCCGGACTCCAAATTTCCAGATCAGGGATGCCTTACAAGGGGCCCCCACCCTGTAATAGTGACTATAAGGATTATATTAGGGCCCTACTATGTTCCTATTATACCACTATTACAGGGTGGGGCCCCCTCTAAGGGATGCCACTTAACCATAGGCTCCACAGTAGTTCCTTCTTGAAATTGCCATTATAGAATTCTGAATATGAACCCAAAAAGGAACTACTATGGAGCCCCTAGGTACCCCCCATGCAGAAGCAAAGTTGACAAGTATTGGAGTTTAAGGGTTTGGTGTTCAAGGGGTTATCGTAGCGGTGGGTTTACGTTCAATACTTTGCGGTGCATGCTTTTGGGATTTGGGGCTTTAGGATGAGTCTAGAGTATGACTGATTTTGCAAAGCCGGTTGTAACTGAAAGGCTCTGATGAATTGGGATGTATTAGTATCTGATCTGGTACTGCTGACAACCTAAAGCCCCAAATACCCCAACGTACTACAGCTGGAAGGCACTGAACCCTGGAACAAGAAAGCCCTGAAACATAGACGTAAACCCTCAAGCCCTAAAAACCCAAAGCCCTTTGCAACCTACCGTCTGAGACGTGGCTGAATTATGGAAATTGAACCACAGGACATGGTACAGAAGCAATCGAAGAATTCATGATGATGATCCCGCCGCTCAGCTGCTACGCACGACGCTACGACGAGTCTGCGCATACTTCAGACAGAAACTCAACCCCGGTTTTGAAACACTTCGACCCAGAACCTCCGCACCGAACGCAGATCTCATGAAGATATTGCGCAAGCGGGGCCTTGCAAGCAACCCAGATTTAGAAGACAGAAACCCTAAAAACCCTAAACCCCTAACCTATGTTAAACAGAATGCGATCATCCCTTCCAGTTCCCTACAAAGCCTGGTACCATCCTCAGGACAAAGTCTTGAAAACAGCCCGACACTCCTGTGACGAGAAGGGAACGAGTAGCTCCATCATCCCGATGCACGCCAATCGGCACCTGAGGGAGGCACTTGGTTGAATCTATACTGAACTTAGAACCCTAGCAAAAAATTCAATTTTAGCTGTTTCTTAGGGATTATAATAACCAAAACTTAAAAATTATTTCTAAGTACCCCTAAGGAATCCTGAACCAACATGTTCAAAGTACAAAGCCGCTGCAAATCACAAGATTAAACAGCCCGAAGCCGGGGCCGTGCTTCGAGGCTTTTTCATGTTAAGGGCACGTTGCCGGCGTAAAAAGTGCCCCCCCCCCCCCACCCCCGCACCATATTGTAGCAGTCTAGAAGAAGGCGACTATGAAGGGCGAAATATACCTGTATTCAAGACATTACCATCACAGTTACTGACCGAGCAGTATCCGAAAGTTAAACAACACAGAAACGCATTGCGGGTACGGCAGCTCGGTGCCTCGAGGATCCACCACGGAGTTGTTAAAAACCCTGGGTTGGGCTTTGGGTTGACCGGTTTAGGGCTTATAGGGTTTAGGGCTCAGGCGTCTGGGGGCTTTGGGCTTAGAAATACATATGTATACATATGTATGTGTATATGAGTCCATCTACATATATATATATATATATATACACATACAGCCTAAAGGATTTACGCCCTTGGGGCCTGGCAACCCCTAGGCCCGAAAGCGTCAGGTCTCAAAGAACTCTACATTCTCTCTTTTGAGTTGATACATCTTTAAATCCGGTCAGGCCCCGCATCTGCGGTTTCGGGTTTAGGGTTTGGGGATGTTGTTCAAACTAATCAGCCCATGAACCTCAATCCTACTCCGCCACAGTCTGTGTGGATCTCAAAGGCCTCCACCCGGAACCCGCAGCCCTGAAACCATCTCCCAAACCCGAAACCATGTATGAGTCTCATCACCGGACCCTTCACTTCCCCGAAGCTTTCCCTAAACCCGAAACCCTAAAGCCCCTAAACCCTGAAACCCTCAACCCCGGAAGCTCGAACCTGTCACCGAGACACCTTGGAGACAAGACGTGCTGTGCACAGGAGCCCAGGAGCCCACAGAAAATCCCGAGGGCTTCCTCTTTTTGCAACGGTTTTGACTCGAGCTTTAGGGTTTAGGGTTTAGGGTTTAGGGGTTTAGGGTTTAGGGTTTAGGGTTTAGGGTTTAGGGTTTAGGGTTTAGGGTTTAGGGTTTAGGGTTTAGGCCGGGAAGGACAAGGGATTCCTCTTTCAAAGGTCCTGTTGGCTTAGAGCTCAGGCAAGGTTGTGATTGAGGTTTGAGGATTTCGGTTGCAGGCATGCATTCATACATTCATACATACGTACATATGATGTGACCGTTACATGGACATACACAGGACTGGTGATGATTGTCATGGATCCACAGCACTCGGATTACGAGCACCCATCCTTTTACGGGACCAACTTTCGCTGCAGCCTGTGGTATTTGGTGCAGAAAATGACAAACATGTAGCATGAACTTGTTGGCTGACGTCTCAATCACAGAACTGAGGCTTTAGCACAAGGCCTGCTTGAGGGTCAAAGGGTTGCTAGTTTGTGACGCCTTTCATGAATTATGCGGGTGCCGGGACGACAGGCCCACAACGAGCCAGCTGGCAGGATCACTGTTACCATGTTACCTTAATAAGTAGGAGCCATATTCTCTGCTATGGATGCCCATTATGGTATCTAGTTAAATTAAACCCCTAAACAAAAGAAAAGGATTAGCATCAATTTCGTCTTGGGTAGCCTCTCACAAGTCGCCCAAGGGCAATTACGGTCAGAGTCAGGGAGCTGCAAGTATGTAGGGGCCTTAATAATTAGACTAAAGATTTGAAGCCCATACTACTATATTTATAATAAGGAGCCCTCCAACATAGCATAGGTAATTTTGATGCGAGCAGTGGGTGCAGGATATATATATATATATATATTTATTTATTTATTTATTTATTTATGTATTTATGTTCAGGCTTGGATAAACAGGGTGGGGCTCTCAAGTCTGACTTCGCATCACCCGTCCTCCACGCTGTCGCCTGCCACGCTCGCGAGCACGAATCGGGCGGCAATCTCACATGCTTTGCGAAAGAAACCTCCGAACCACGACTACCCAGGTGCTACTAAACAAGGTTGAGAAAGGAGGCCTGAAAGCTCGCAGCTCCCGCAAGCCCTGCAAACTTTTAAGATGTCCCTTTAAACACCGAAGCTGAGCATTCATGAACAGATTGAAGATGTAGGCCGGGGGGAACCTTTGTCTGCAAACCCAACCACTCTCCCCATGTAACTACTGAACAGGTACTAAAGCCGACGTCTTTGTAGGGCAACTGTCGCCCGGAAGGTCACCTTAGCATTTAGAGTTTAGGGTAAACCCTACCTTAGCCCCCAAGAACCTACATCTTCAAGGACTTATATAGAGAAATCATAATAAGGAACCTTACAAGGTAGGTTATCCAGGCTGAAGGTAAGCTCTATAGTTGTTGTAAGCCACTGCACACACGCACTGTTGTATATACCCGTCCAAGTGTTTACAAGCAGCGCAATACCATTAGGCAACTACGCACTTTTCCTGTAAGAGCACTTGTGCCACAATGCCGTACACACAACATGCTACTTCACACGTGCACAAATTACACCCCCCTCGCCGAAGCGTCAGTCTGAGGCGCAAACATGCACGGAAGCTTGGTGCTGTGTGGCCTGCCGTAAAGGCGGCTGGATTGTGGCTCGGGGCTCATAGGCTTTCTACTACCGTAAAGCGGAAGATACGGAAGCAGATTAATTCTTTTAGCGCGCAGTTTAAAGTCGCGACATGCATTATAAAATGGCGACGATCCAGCAAGCCTTGAATGATGGCGTGGATACGAGTCGCAAGACATGTGCAGCATGGGACGAATACATCATCCACTGGAGCTGCTGACGAATCCCCTCGAGGTCCAAAGACCTGGTGTCGGAGTTGTCACAAAGTGACTGCCAGATGATGCAAGGTGAAATTTTTCTGGTCTTAAGGAAATTCGGCCACCTCTAAGAGGGGCTGTATTTCGGAGTACCGGTTAACGTGACGGAACCACGAAATGTGGGTCGGGTACTTAGTACCATCCCCGGGAACCGGAGGAGCGGCCATAGGGGTGGGATCCTCGCTGGTAGCCGCGATCCCATCCCTGCTCCTGGTAGCGCTGCTGCTCTGCTCTGCGGGCATCAGCTTTGGCTTGCGCGATGCGAGAGCGTTCAGCGTTGCGCTGTCGCTCTTCGTATGCACGGCGTGCAATTCCGACCTGTTCCGCGAATTTCTCACGGAGCCACTCAGTCCAGTCCTCAGCAGAATAGCCGAGTCTTGGATCAACATAGAGTGCCTCTTCTGAGAAAGTAACAATCATCTTCACAATTTTGTGCTGGAGGAAAACATCTACGAATTTACGCAAACTGTATGCCCCTCCCAGCCACATGATGCAAAACGGATCGTCACTCACTGCGGAGATCAGGCCTGCCCTAAGGGCGGCTGGATTGCAGTCGTGCAGGTAGAGCAACCGAGCGATCTCCTGGTTCCGTGGCCCTTCGGAGCTTCCACCATAGGTCCCGACAGCTAGCTGTCGTTGCTCCTTTGAACGGCCATGGTTCGGCAAGGCAGCATGCGTAAGCACGTCCTCGATGGCCAGAAACTCTCGATCGTACCCATTGCCGATGGAACTCATTGTGTAGTCCACATCGTTATCGAACCGGTGTACGATGCTTGTGTAGCCTCCTTTTGTAGCCATCTTGAGCTGCTGCCGGGCTTTGTCCAGCGCCTCTGCGTCAAGCGATGTCGTTCCCCGCTGTGTTGAAGAATCTCTGGTCATTTCATGAATGACCTCCTCCGGTGTAAGCTGGGAACGTGGCTTGCCCGCAGCGGCGGCGGCTGCCTCTTCAGCGAACCAGCGAGCTGAACGCGCTTTCTTGCGTGCGTTCTGCTGAGAAGGCTTCACGATGTGCACGCCACAGCTCAAGCATATCATCTGTCCCACAAGGTGTTGAGTACCGCAGTGGGGACATGCCCTGTGGCGGCCACCCGTAACGGGGGCTGGAGGGAGAGCCAAAGGAGTCGATTCCGGCTGAGGCGGTGCCTGCTCGAACATCGGCTCGATCTTAATCTCCTCCTCCTTTTTCACATCTCCTTCTTCAGGCTCGATCTCGATCTCGACTTCAACGGGATCTTCTGGCTCGAGGAAACGGACACGCTTTCTGGACTCAGTCGGTGCCTCCGGTGGAGAAGCACCCCCCTGGTCCAATGTTGTGGTTTCCTCCGGAAGGAAGTCGGATGCTGTGGCGTCGTTGAGTGCAAGAGGTTCTGGCGATGATGCTGGTGGTGCCACCTCAACCTCAACTTCGACCATAGGCTCGTCTGCTGTTGCAGACGCTGCTGTCTCGACCTCTTCATGGCCACCACTAAGTGGGGCTGAAGGTTCCTCCGGTACATCGGGGAACTGTTCCGGCTCAGCTGCTCCAGGATCGACAATGGGATCCTGGGCAGTTTCCGGGATGATGGTGTCCTCTTCCTCGCTGGACTGTCGCGACCACAGAATGATGCCTTTGATCGTGTCCCTGATGTAGAGCACACAAGATCCTGGCACTGGGTCGCGCGTGAGTATGCCTTCGGAAGTTGTTTCAAACAGGTAGGCATAGCGGTTCACCTCCTGAGTGTCGAGAACAACTTCATAAGGAAGGTTTGCTCGGCTGCCAGCTTTATTCTCAAGCTCGCTCAGCGTGGCCTTCGCGAAGTAGTTGTGAAACTTCCCGCTCCGGTTGAAGCCAGCTGTGAAGCCAGTAGAGAGAATATTGAAAGCTGAATCGTGCGTGGTTCGATGATACAGGCGTGGGGGAAACTCCCCAAGAGCAAGGAATGGCCTGCCTTGATAGGCGGCTGTAGGACCAAGCTCCTCACGCGTCTCGTTCGTGAACCAATGCAGAGCAATCGAGGAATCAGTCACCTGATCTTTGATGCGTTCGCTGTGACCGTGCGACGCACAAATCCACGACGGCCAAATGTCCGTCTCGACGAAGTCAGCACGTGGATCGGTGGGGAGGCCTGCCAAGTTAAACCTCGATTTGTTATCGTAGGCGACTATGGACAAGATACCTCGAGTTCCCAGATCCACACGGTGCTTCTTCCACATGTGCTGAATGAGGTCTTGGATGCGTACCCATTTGCCTCGCCGTGAGCTGAGCTTCACGTTCGACCCTCGGACAGCACCTGTGAGGTAGCGCTCAACATAGGGCTTGAGGCCTAACTCAGGGAGGTGGTCCTTCGGGATCGAGTCGGGGAGGATCTGAACGATCTCGCTCCCCTCAGGATCCTCCGGACACACATCTTCATCGACGAAGCCACACATCTCCATCAGGTCCAAGTCGTCTTGGAATTTCACCCCAATGTAGTCGTGTGGGCGAGCCCTTAAAAGGCCGCTGGAAGGGTTCCGGTCCTTCTTGGTCATGCCCTCTTTCGCAGCAGACAGAGTACGGTGTGACTCAGTGCGATAAGGGATGGCCTCGATGACATCGTCAAAGGACACCTCCGGTACGTCGCGAGATGATGCACTGCCAGATGGGCCACCACTAAGTGGGGCTGGATCCTTTCGCTCAGCACGGGCACGTGCTTCCGCCTGCTCTTTTGCACGCTTTTGCGCCTGTTCGCGAGCTGTGGCCCATTCCCAATTCAGGACATCCTGAGGTACCTCACGCATTCCAGTGACCGGGAGATCAGGTGGAGGAACATAAGGGGATTCCCATGGGTCAGGGCATTCATTTGCAGCTTCGCGAATCTCGGCCTGCCTTAAAAGGCGGCGGGAGAGCTGGGACCGATACAGCGCCTTGTCGAAGACATACTGCATGGAATATACCCGCGTTCCTTCTGGGTCGAAGGGGAAACGGCGGGCCAGCTCGTCCAGCGTCTCTGAGGGCATCTTTGCGAATAAGTGGTCAGCTTGACACACTTTAATCCGCTGCCCGATAACAGAGGCCAAGGCTGCGCGATGCGTAGAGTCCTCGCGGAAGTGGTAGTGGTCGTGCTTTGGGATCTGGCATACGCTTTCTTTGAGCGAAGCGGTGTATAACCCCCTGCTCCTTGCGTATCCGAGGAATTTTCGGATAGCTGTTCTGTATTCCGCTGGCAGCCCATAGTCCAGTGGGTCGGCATCCGAGAGGATTTGCATCGACCCAACTGTTGGCCTGCCCTGAAGGGCGGCTAGACGGCCGATTTCACCGCACACACGTGCGGCAATGTCCGCCCAGATCCCTTCCGCGGCAACGCCTTCAGGACCAATCTGCCAGTGTGGCGTTCCTGGGTCGACGAAGACACCTCTGCGACCGCACAGTTCGTTGCCCATCCACACAACAACGATATCGACCTCGAGATGCAAGGGATTTAACGATTCGTTGATGATCTGCGGCAAGAGCGTGTGAACTGCCTCAACGATCGAGTGGAGGTTGCCTCCCCAAATCGCCTTTTGCCGGACATTCGTGTATTGCTGAAGGATATGACCAGGCCCCGTCAGAGCTTTAAAGTCTTCCGCCATCTCAACGAATGTTCTCGCCCCAGCCTTGAAAATGAGGGTAGAGTCGGAAACAATGATGCAGGCTTTTTCACGGCCACGGCTATCGCCGGGCTGGAAACGCGACAACCCCTCGTCGTTGATCCGTGCCACCTTAGGGAGGGCCTTATAGCCATGATCAACATCTCCCAGACACGTAGACAAAGCGGTTTGCGCGATTGCGCCTGTGTAGAGCTGTTTCACGCTCTCTTCCCAGTCACGGTCTGGGTTGAGTCCGAGCTCGTGTCCGAAGACACCGGCCCACATATGGTAGTGAGCCCACTCCCGCTTGATTGAGTCACCCGATGCGGCAATCGTCGCTGGCGCCGACGGCTTGTTCTCGCCTTCTGCTCGCACTCGGGGATCACTAATCATCTCTGGCGTGCTCTGATGAGCCGCTGCACAGGGGCAGGCAAGCACCTTCCTAAAGTTCGCAAGATTAGCAAGATGTGAAGATGTGAAATCCTCTAAATCATCATGAT